CTAGGAATGCAGTCTAGGGAACCATGGCCATTTTTAACCTTTCCTCTGAAACAAATAGCCATGGGCTCACTCTCCTTCTGGTGAGGGTGAGAGGCTTGAGGGAGGGTATGTGTTGTGTGTGTGTGTGTGTGTGTGACACATGGATTCATCAGTCCACTGAAAATATTCTCCAAGTCTTATCTGCAATATATTGACACCCCCATCCATGTCCCTCCCTGTTGAGAAATTCCTTCTCAAGCTCCAGCCTTTATTACCATGACCACCATCCCACAGGCTTGCTCCTTCCTCACCAGTTCTATCCTTCACTCAAAAAAAAAAAAAAAAAAAAAGCAAGTGAGTACCTAGTTCCCAAAGAAGATGATTCATATCACTGACAGGAACCATCTAAGGGGCACAAGGACAGATGCTGGCAGACTGGTTTGGGGGATGATCTCTGGGGAGGGGTTGGTGGTGTCGGGATCCGAGTGGAAGCTCTGAGGTTTTCGTTTTGTTTTGAGACAGGGTTCCTCTGTGTAGCTTTGGCTGTCCCGGACTCACTTTGTAGACCAGGCTGGCCTACGAACTCACAGCGATCTGCCTGCCTCTGCCTGCCCGGGTGCTGGGATTACAGGCGTGCACCACCACCCAGAGGGCTCGGAAGCTCTGAGCTAAAGAGCTCTTTACAGGCCTCAGATGAGGCCTCCTTCTCTGTGTGCCTCGATGGATGTGTCACCTGGCCACCTGGTGGGAAGGCCTCCTCCCTCGCCTGAAAGGCGCCCTCCAGCTTGCTGTGAATTGTATGTAAGTGGAAACAGGGCTGAGGAACCCAACGTGGCAGCATTCTCTTTTCTCTCCTTTGCGAGGGTGAGTGTCTGTGTGGGTGGAGGCCAGAGATGGGCACAGGGTGTCCTCTATTGTTTGCCTCCATTTACTGACTGGTCCATCTACTTATTATTCACTTATTGACACGGTGTATGTGTGTGTGTGTGTGTGTGTGTGTGTGTGTGTGTCTTTCTCCATTGAACCTAAATCTTTCACTTTCAGTTAGACGTGGTTGGCCCGAAGCTCTGGAATCTGCCTGTTTCTGTCACCCCCAGCACCAAGCCTGGCCTTTGCCTGAGTGTTAGGAATCTGGACTCGTGGCCTCAGGCTTGCACAAGCAAACACTTTACCCGCTGAGCCATCTCTCCTGCCCTGCCCCTCTCTCTGAAAGGAACAATTTATTTTATTTTATTTTTCTAGGGATTTACTTATGCTCGGCGGCGGTGGCGGCACTCGCCTTTAATTCTAGCACTCAGGAGGCAGAGGCAGGTGGATCTCTGAGTTTGAGGCCAGCCTGGTGCTCCAGATCGAATTTCAGGACAGCCAGGGCCACACAGAGAAACGCTGTCTTGACAGGCAAAAGCAGAACAAATGATTTACTTATTTTTATTTTATGGGTATGAATGTCTTGCCCGCACCCTTGTCTGTGAACCCCATGTTTACAGTGCCAGCTGAGGGCATCGGGTCATCCGGGACTGCAGTCACAAACACTCAACAGCTGCCCTGTGGATGCTGGGGACAGAACCCGGGTCCTCAGGAAGATAACTTCCATTACACAGATTTGGAAACTGAGGCTCTGTAAGGGAGTCGGGGTCTGAACCAGGCCGTCTGGCTCTGGAGTGGGAGCTCCCCTCAATCTCACTTCACACTCTAGGCTTTGGGTTAAATGTTTACCCAAAACCTCCCCTGTTTTGCAATTGAGAAATCTGAGACTCAGAGCAGTTGAGCAACAGCTGAAGGTCACACAGCTGGGGAGCAGCAGGGCTGAGATTGAAAGTTGGCTGGGCTCCAGAGCCTCTGTTTTGTATCCCCCTTTGGCAACTTCGGCCAGACCCTCAGGCTCCACAGCCAGTTTAAGCAACCTCGCCTCCTCGTTGCTGTGTCTCTTTCGGTAAGCCAGCTCCTTTCTCTGTCTAGAGAACAGCCTGGCGGGGGCGGGGGCTGGGGGCGGGGGCTGGGGGCGGTCTTCAGCCCCTTCTTCCCGAGGTCCCCATCAGCTGGTTAGCTGGTTGAACGGAAGAAGCTGAGAGGTTTGGCACTTTCAGCTGAAAGGGCAGCTTTGTGGCCTGGGAATATCTCAGATTTGGCCTATGGTCACAGCCAGGGAGGATCCAAGTTGGGACTGCTGTGTGTGTGTGTGTGTGTGTGTGTGTGTGTGTGTGTGTGTTGGGTGTGTGTGTGTGTTGGGGATGATGGAATGAAAGGGGCTTCGGGCGATTGTAGAAGGATGGCGAAGAGGGCACAGGTGAAGGGGGATAGTGGCTGCTGTGTGCAGCACAGGGGAAGGGGAGAATGAGAAGAAGACCCGGTGGGCTTCCTTGGGGGAGTGTTTCCTTCTACCCCAGGGATCACCCTTTCAACTCAACATGTGAGAGAGCATCAGAGCAGGCCTTAAGGGTCAGGCCTTCGTGGAGCCAGAGGTTAGAACTTCTGAGACACAGCGTTTTTGGGGAAATTGACATTGCTGGGGGTTGGGTTGGTTCTGTAAATATTTGGAGGCGTCCAGTTATACTAGAAAAAAAAAAAAGTATTTGAAGCCAGGGTGGCGTGTTTGTGTGGCTGGCCCAGCTTCCTTTTCCATGACCGCTCTGTTGACATTCCCCTCCTGTAGGGATGGAGGCTTGTTTTCCCATCTGTAACCTCGTTAGGACACACACACACCCACACTGCACTCTGGCAGGTTCTCCTTGGGGACGTCCATGCTCAGTGGCTTCGCTCTCTTGCCGCATGCCTGTGGTCCCACCGTCGCAGCTGGGCCTTTTAATATTCAGTACCCATCATCCCGAATGCCACCATCGCACGCCGACTGCACTTGCGCCAGGCTCGCTCCTTCCAGGGTGCTGATTCCAGGCCTGGAGGAGGCCGCCTGACAAACTGTGTTAAGATCACTCTAGCCCCGTGCATCCTGTGGAGGAGGGTAACGGGTGTGTTTGTGGTTACAAGATTAGAACGTGGGCATGGTTATAAGGCAGGCTCCATTTTTTTTTTTTTTTTTTTTGCTTGGGGGAAATTGGAGTTATGTTTTTGTGTGAATTTCTCCTCCTCCTCCTCCTCCTCCTCCTCTCTCTCTCTCTTGTCCCAACCGCCAGCCTGCTTCCAGGCTCAAGCCTTCAAACACACTTCCCTAGGCATCATAGGCTAGACCAACCTCTCAGGCTTAGAGAAGTTAGGGCTGTGGTTACACACTGGGGCACAATGACAAGGACACTTGGCCTGTGGGGGTGGGGTGAGGGTGGACAAGAGTCTGGTCCTCTCCCTCTGCTCTCCGCACTGCTATCTTTTGAATGTGTGGGCCCTTCCGATAACCCTGTGTTTGAACTTGAACCCTATGATGATGGGATTGGAAAGTGGAGTCCTGGAGAGACGAAAGGACCTGAAGGGAACCAGTGTGGCCCTGATGCTCATTGTCTGACTTCCAGAATTGTGAGGAATAGATTTCTACCGTTTCTAAGTTCCCCGGGCTGTGAAATTTTGGTACAGGAAACGGTAGAAATCTATTACTAGTGGCCAGAAAGGAGGGCCCTGTGTTCCCAGCTCTCAAGTACCCAACAGAGAGCGCCACCTCACCCATGCCATCGGTCTCATCCCAGCTCCTTTACTCTAGAATGCCACGACCTCCGAGCTTCCCACCAAACACTAGTTTGTGGAGGGAGGGGTCTGGGCAAGTCTGAAGGGGCCTGGCAAGGGTCAAGGCTGTTCCCGGCTGTCCTGGTACAGCAAGCACACCAGGAGGCAAGTGTTTGCTGGGGTTTAGCCCAGGCACAGGGGTTCCTGGGACGACCTGCTCTTCCCATTCTCTGCTCAGAGCTGCCCCCTGCCCACCCACAGCGTGGGCACCGCTGCCTGCAAGGGCCTGGGCCCCGTCCCACGGGCTCTGCTAGCGTGTTTGCACACGGGCACCCTGTACTCACTCCTTTTCCACCTCTTGTAGTCTCCTGGGCTTGTATCTCTGGTGGTGCTTAGTGACTGACCTCATGATTCTGAGCGCTGAGAAAGGCAGGCTTGGGCGGAGGAGTATGGGACGCATGGGCCGTCAGATGGTGTGGGGGGATTACCAAAAGGGCTCACCCCCTTGCCATTTACCGAAGAATTTTCCCCCTTCTTTTAAAGCTGTTGTTTCCTCAAGGGAAATTTTTTATTTGTGCCTGAGTAAAATATGTGCTCTTATAAATCGAAAGCAGAACATGAGGAAAGGTTTCTGTTGCTGACAGAGAACAAAGAAGCAGCTTTGCTGGCCTTTGTCAGCCAGCAGGGTCATTTCCCCTCCTCGGTCCCCTGACCTTTTCCTCCCATCCTGGAGGAGAGACCCAACCTCTTGTCATCCAGAGCCCCAGCTGGGACTGCATTCAGCCCGATGATGTGGTCTGGCCCACAGGAAACATCACCCCTTGCTGAAAAGAAGTGAGGAGGGGCAAAAGGGAGGAACAGGGGTGCTCCGAGGGAGCATGGAGAGACTGCTATCTCTTGCTGGCCTGATGACAGTTGGAGAAGGAGGGGGGGGGAGAGGGAGGGTGTTAAGTCCGAGTTAATCAGACCAGTCGATGGCTCCCATCCAGCCACAAGCCAGGAAGTGACCCCACCATGTTGGTTTTGGAGACAAAAACCTGGGTTTCTGGAGTATGTGACTTCTGTCCTTGGATCTATGGGCCATCTCTCTAGGCTGGAAGAAGGTTCATTCAGAGGCCTCAGCAGTCTATTCCACTACCAGGGTGTTCACCGGCCCCATACCCTTCACTCCAGAAGGTGTGATGGCCTCTCAGCTTTCACTTTTGGTTGTGGGTTTGGGGACAGCTGTCCTGGTTTGTCTCAGCGGCGTCTCTTCCAGCTTCGGTTGAGGTAGAATGCATGGGTTGGGGGTTAAGCGGTTTCGTAGGCCCTGAGGTTAACCTAACTGGCCAGAACTGCTCTTCCCTCAGCAGCTCTTTGGTGGGTCCTGAGTCCTTTCACATGCTCCAGGCCCCACCTTAGGGCCCCTGGGAGAGGTCCTTGAAATCCGGGTGGGGGAGCCCCCTATGGGGAGAAGGTGGTGGTGGTCTCGGCCTCTGTGCTCATGGAGGTGTGCCGCACATGCCGGCAGGAAGACCACTGCCGGAGCTGCTCCTGGCTGAGGCAGCCCAAGTCCTTGAAGAGCTTGAAGAGGTCACTGCGGAACTTGACGCCAATGAAGGCATACAAGAAAGGGTTGACACAGCAGCGGACCGAGGCCAGGCTGTAGGTGATATCGTAGGCAATGTTGAGCTGCTTGCTGACTTCACAGCTGCTATTGGTGATGTTGAAATTGGCCACCGTCTGGGCCAGAACCACTCCGTTGTAGGGCAGCTGGAAGGCGATGAAGACCACGACCACAGCTATGATCACCTTGATGGCCTTGTTCCGCTCAAAGTTTCGAGCCTGGAGCAGGGTTCGGATGATGACAAAGTAGCAGAACATCATGGCCAGCAGGGGCACCAGAAATCCGATAACCATTTGGGACACTTGGATGGTGATCAAGGCCTCCACGTGGCCAGTCACGAGTGAGCATCTCCACGCGTTCTCGCCGTTCCTCTTCTGGAGATCGCTGTAGAGCAACTCTGGGGTGGAGAGCAATAGGGCCAGCATCCAGATGCCCACACAGGACAGCTTGCTGATGAGAAGCACTCGGGCACGGTGGCGGTGGGTTGACACGGCCTGGACGATGGCCACGTATCGGTCAATGCTGATGCACAGGAGCAGCAGCATGCCGCTGAAGAAGCTTATCTTATAGATGCCAAAGATGCCCTTACACATGAAGACACCAAAGCTCCAGGACTTGGCTTCGCTGTAGGCCCAGAAGGGAAGGGTCAGGAGGAAGAGGATGTCTGCCATGGCCAGGTTGAGCAGGTAGGTATCCGTCATGGTCTTGAGCCTCTTGAAATAGATGTACGTCAACACCACCAGCCCATTGCCCAGCAGGCCCACAAAGCAAATGACCGAGTACACGAGAGGGAGGAACCAGGCCTTGAAGTTCCGTACATCCTTCTTGAAGCACACCGTCTCATACAGGGTGTAGTCCACTGTGGTGTTCTCGCCGATGTAGTCGTCTGTGACCTCATCTTGGCAGAAGCACACCTGAGGGGGAAGGAAACACCTGTTTAGCCAGCAGTCTGCATCTGGCTGGGACTTTGCTTAGGGTGGTGGTGGTGAACTCAGGAATTTCTGATTCTTGGAGATTCTCAGACCTTAGACCCATTGAGCTGGCATCTGAGGGGGTGGGGCCCTGGAATCCATTCATCCACCCATCCATCCATCCATCCATCCATCCATCCATCCATCCATCCATCCATATTTATGTGTGTGTGTGTATTCCCCTCCCCCTGCCTCAAACCCTGAGTATTTGATTTGAAATGAACACATCTCAAGCCTCAGCACGTGGGGCTGGAGAATTGGCTCAGGGCATGTGTCAAGCTTGCAGAGAATCCTTGTTTGGTTCCCAGCACCCACACCGTAGCTCACAGCCATCTCTGCCTCCAGTTCCATGGGGTCTGATGCCCACTTCTGACCTCCTCAGGCAGACATGTGGGTACACTTACATGCATGCAGGCAAAAATACTTATACACATAAAATAATAAGTCTAATGTTTTTAGCAGGCACGTGAATTTACCCAGGGGGCATCTTGTTAAAATGCACATCCTGTCTGGGGAGGCTGAGGCAGGACCAGACGCCTACATTTCTACTGATTGGTAGCAAAAGACTTCTTTTGTCAAGTCTTGGGACAGCCAGTCTCAACCACACTGCTGGTGGACTGGAGACAGTCTAGGGTTTTGGGGAGTCTGCTGAGCCCCGAGCTGGAAAAGCACACATCCCCTCTCTGTCTGGGGGAACGGAGGCAAATCCCAGCTCCTGTGCTAGGTTGTTGAGATTCGATAGCGGGGAGGCACCTCCATTCTGGCTTCCTCTTTGTCCACAGAGGGTTCATCTTACTCTACGGCGTAAGGCTGCAATACTGGGAATGTGGGTCTTTCTTTCCCAGCCTCTGTTAGGTCCCCCTGGTGAAGTTGTCCAGGGACCTACAGAATGCCTCAGCTCTTGAGGGAGAAACCTCTGTTAGGGTCAAGTTTGAGAAAGGTCTGAAGCAGACAGAGAAGAAGATCAAAGCTCCTGGGTAGGGATCGGTTTCAGCCGAGGGACCACTCCTGTGACTGTGGACCACCCATAGGAGACACGGAGATGTTCGTGGCTCCGTGTTTCCCACCACCTCACTCAGCTGGTGGGTACACGAATGTACCGCTGGATGGCAGGGCCTGTGGGGCACAGCTCCTGCAATGTGACTGCCTCCCTAGTGCCCACGAGAGCCGCTCCTCTCCTCTCCCCCTGTTCCCAGTCTCTCCTCACACCTCTCTGCCTCTCCTCCCGCAGATCCTAATCAGCAGGGCTCAGCTGCTCTGGGCTTTTTTTAGCCCTTTTGCCGGGCTGCAGGGTGTGTGTGTGGTGGTGGTGGGGGGAGGTTCAGCAGCTGCTGTGACTTTTATCAATGAAGGGGGTGCCTGCCGCTGGCCCGGGAAGATGGACCACTGTCGGTGGAGGCAAGGGAGGGGTCGTCTGAAGGCCCGATTCGGAAAGCTCATGGTTCCTTCTCTGGGTAGGAGACTTTCAGCCGCTCCATGGCAATCCAAGGAGTGCACCATCACTGTGGGCCTGGCAACAGGGTGGGGACAAAGTGGTGTTCATGAGCCTTTTTTTTTTTTTTTTGTGGGGCGGGAGTGGGGGGAACAGTGGGGAGCGTTGCTAATTTGAGAAGGAAAGTCCACAGCAACCTTCTTTCCCGGATCCAGGTGTGACTTCAGCCTGGGGGCCCTGGGAAGAGGTTAGCTGCGTTTGGGTCCGGGGACTTCCGCCCTGGGGCTTCTAGACTTTTCGGAGGACAGAACTCCCAGCTTCTACGAAGCGTGCTCCCACACCACCCCCAGTCTTCCCCATCCCTTGCTCCTGCTCCTCCCCCCTCCCCCCAGGGCTGCCGCCTCTGCAGCCCACAGCCCCACCACATCCGGCCCTGTCTGAACCCCCCCCCCCCTTCTCCCAAGTGAAAGACAAAAACCAGCCACAGATGTCTTCACCCTTCTCTGGCCTTCCAGCCAGAGGGGAGGGAGTGGTGATGGGGAAGGGGCCAGGCTAAGGGCTGCAGCCCAAGCTCCAGGGGGCCTCTGAGATGAGACTTGGGGAACCGTGCCCAGCCTGGGGCCTGCCTCTGGCCTGAGTTCCTGGAAAGCTGCCCCTCTGGCCTCCGGACCTGGGGGAGAGTCAAATTCTGAAGTCTTGCTTCTCCAGGCTGGCCTTGGCCATTTCCCCACCTTCAGAGAATTCCCACCCCAACAGAGGAAATTTGACTCGAAGAGTTTCTCCTGCCTCTGGGGCTTGGTGGGGCACACCTTCTGCCGCCATCACCAGGACAGAGAACAGGAGCACTGTGAAGTGGGCTCTTTGCTTTGCAAAATCCACAATGCTCCCTTCACCACCCTCAGCACTGGGTCCTAGGCTCCGCTCTTTCTCTCTCCCTTCTCCCCACAGGCAGGCCAGATGGCTCTCTCTATTTTTTGAAAGGAAACCAGACTGAGATTCCAAGGTTCTCCTTGGACCAAGAGGCAAGAGGAGACAACTTTGGGTGACTGGAGACTCACCAGATCACCAGACCCAGGGTCCTTTTCTCAGCCCACAGGTGAATGAATGAATGTACCTGTGTGCAAAACCAGGTCCCTCTAAGCTTTGTGTCCCATAGTACCAGTCTCTCTGAGCTCTCCATACTCTGTTTCTGTCTTCTGGATGAAGAGGTGTGGGGGTGGGGTGGGGAGATGAGGGTGAGGTTAGGCTACTTCTCCCTGGGATTTAATTTAAACGGGGATGAAGGGGCTCCAGAAAATGCCTGTCTCCCCTCACCCCCATGCAACCTTCCCCAGGAGGGAGGGAGGGGCCACCAGCTTTAATGAGTGGCAGGTGGGTTTGTGTCTGGGCCTTTCCTTCTGGCAAACTGTTCAAGTACCAGCATTCCTGGGTGGGGAGGGGAATGTGGAGGAGGGAAGAGAGCTTCCCCCGTCAGGAAACCTCACCTGGAAAATGACAAGGAGAGCCACCATCAGCACGTTTTTCCTGGGTTTCCCTATAGGAGACAAAGGAGAAGATGTCACTGCCTGGCGGGGAGACAGTTATTAAGGAAAGCAGGGTGAGGGGGGGAAGAGCGGGAGTGCACCGTTGGGAACTTTCATCCCAGGCTCCAGGCACCTCGTTTGCTGGAAGAGAACATCAGAACCAGATTGTGCGTTTGAACACCTGGCCTGCTGCCCGGGATCCCTGTCTTCACCTCCCCTCCCTTCCTCCTCCACTCCCAGGTCTCCCCACCCCCTGCCTTGGCCCGGCTAGGCTGCGGCTGGTTTGCAGAATCTGCTGTGCCTCAACAATCCTTCTAGACCCCTGTCTCCACGTGCCCCCCCTTCCCGAGCCATGCGATGCAGGGCCCTGCGGTGGTCAGGGCATGCACACGTGTCCAGCATTGCCTTGATGGCAGGACCCCCTGGCCTGGGCGCATTTCTTAGGGGCCAGGTCCACGGACAGTCGCATGTGAAGCCTCCCGGATGTCCCAAGGGAGATGGGCTAAGGAAATGGGGAGCTGATTTCTCCCCTTTAGCTTGTTTTCTAACCCGGTGTAGACAGAGACCCCCTGGCTAGAACAGGCCTGTGAGGCGCCATGGATAGCTTCTTACTCTGGAGCTGAGTCTGGGGCCAACCTGGGCTCTAAGTCCCCCTGACAGCTGAGCAAGATGACAACTGGCCAAATAATTTATGCAGACATGCTATGGTGCCCCACCCACCCAACCCTCTCCTCCTGCCTAGGGACTCTTGCTCTGCCTTCTTTGCCACTAAGACCCTTCTCCAGTCCTTGAATCCCAGTCTCTCAGATCCACAGGAGAGTCAGGCCTTGCAATGGGGTACGTGAATGCCCACTGAGGCCAGACTTGCAGACCAGGGTAGGATTTCGCTCCAGGCAACTATCTTCAGGAGGATGAGGGCCCTCTGGAGGCCAGGGAAGCGGATCAAACCTAGAGGTTCCGCGTCCTTGGCCATAGCACCACCTGCTGGAGGCCTAGCTGCATGACACCCAGGGTGCCCAACATGTGCTCCAGGCTGTGTGCCAGGCTGAGGAGTCCAAGCATGGCCACCCTTAGTACAGGCAGGAAGGGCATCAGGCCACCCAGAGAAAAGATTTTCTTGTCTGCATATTCTCCTTCATGCTACGTAGGCACGTCTTACCAAAGCACAGCTCTGCTGTCCATCTCCACCGTGCCGCCCTCCTAAATCCTCAAGGGCTCAGGCCTCCAACTATCTATTCTCTAGAAGTCCCTGCCTCCCTTAGCTACATCTTTTTTTCTGGGGACAGACAGCCACCATCTCCTTGTCATCAGCTTGTACCAGAACATTTGCGGACAGGCCTGGGAACATCATCATGTGGCTTCACAGCTCGAGTCTCTCACCCACCCCCGCCCCCTCTAACTGAATTACCCCCTGGAGCCCCCAGACTTGAGGCCACGTGTCTATATTTAACCACACTCTTTTTCAGGGTCCAGTGCACAGCCCGCCCTCCCCTGACTCATTTCGGCATTCGGCGTTCGAGGTTTCTTTCAACACGTCAACGTCTTTTGGTTACTGTAGAGAAAGCCTGATCTGACTTGTCAGTGAGAGGGAGAAATCCCTGGGGGGCCAAGAATTGTTTCTGTTTTACTCCCTCGGCCCCCTTTTCCCGGGTCCTTTCCTTTGGCAGCCACTGTGGGGAGGGGCTCTCAGGTTCATGAATGAGGTTGGTTCCTCATTCCAGGGATGTTGGATATGGGTTAGGGTTCAGGGGGCTGATGAGCCAGGGTCCTGTAACTCAGTCAGGCCATGTTCAAGACAGTTAACAGGGGAACTCAGGGGGAATTTGGGTGTGTGGTGGCAGAGGGACCTGGCCAGTGGCAGTGAGTCAGACGGCTCCCGTATGACACTAGTCATACAGCAACTGTTCTCAGGCAGCAGTTGGGAATGTCAGGGTCCAGGAGCTGTTGAGTCAGGTGCTGGGTGTTTTCCTGGGTACTTGGCTTTGCAGAATGAGTACGATGAGAGAGAAAATTCCCTAGCACTCCAGCCTGGACCCCACCCCCATCCAGCCTGGGAAAACCTTCTCCCACTCAGGTCCTAAAGCTCCCATCGGCTCATTTCCCCAGTCCCTCCAGGCTGCCCAGGGACCCATGGCTGCTGATCATCTGGCCCCAGAGACACCTCAAGCATTTTTCTCTCTGGACCTTCTCAGCCAACTGTGGGGACATGAGAAAGGGCGGAGGCAGAAGCAGGGGGAGTGTCCAGGAATCCAGAGAGCAGACAGGAGGCAGGGATGTGACCCCAGGCTTCCCTGGGGTCCTCCACAGATCAGGAGGACTCTTGCCCTCTGTTCTTTCTGCTCATTTCTGTTGCTCCTACACCTCCATCTCTTGAAGTCGGTCCTTCCTCTGTCCTGACATAAGGACCTGCTGTCCCTGACTCCTTCCAAAGCACACATTTCTCCTATTTACCCGGAAAAGGGAGTTGCCTTTGCTGGTTCCCATTCCTTTTAGGATGCCGTGTGGACTCCCTGATGCTGTCACACAGAGCTGTAAGGATTGCCCCAGCCTGCCTGGCTTTTTAGCACATCCGCTTTCCCTGACTCCCGTTGGGCCTACACCTTTGCCTCTTTCTTGTCACTCTATTGCCTTCACTAGAGCCTACTGACTATGAGTAGCCCAAGGTGTGTGCACACCCATATGGAGGCCAGAGACTGACATCAGATGTCTTCCCCTGTCACTTGCTGCCTTGTTTTTATGAGACGGTACCTTTCTCACTGAGCCTGTTGTCTGGGATCTCACTGTCCCTGCCTCTGGTATCCTGGTATTACTTGTGTGTGTTGCCACACTAAGCTTTATTTTTTTAAAAGAGCTCTACCTGCATGTGCACCTGCAGGCCAGAAGAGGGTGTCAGATCCTGATATAGATGGTTGTGAGTCACCATGTGGTTGCCGGGAATTGAACTCAGGACCTCTGGAAGAGCAGACAGTGCTCTTCACCGCTGGGCCATCTCTCCAGCCCTACACTGAGCTTTTAAACACGGCCTCTGAGGCTCCAAACACAGTCCTCATGCTTGCGTGTCACTTGAGCGACTCTCCAGCCCCTCATTCACCTTGTTGACTTACGGCTATAGGGCCTGATGTTCTTGTCACATCCTGGCTCATAGGTCTTCTTTATTTGGTTTGATGGCTTCCACACACCCTTTAAAATACAACTTGAATGCCTCCCTGACCCGTGTTCACGGCTTTGTGTTTTCTTTCAATCTTGTCCTCACGCCTCAGGGAGGGCTGTATCTCACTGTTGATGTGGCGTGTTGACATCAAGTGGCTCTCCCCTCCAGGCTGGCCATTCATAAAACTCTCAATGAATGACACAGAAAATACCGTGCAAAGAGGAGAGCTTTCTCCTGGCCGCCCGGGCTCCTGTGTTGTTCTCCACAGACAGGTCCCCGGAGGGCTACAAGGGCCTGATCCTGAATCCCCCTCTGCCACCATCTATGGCTAAGCTGTGAGACACAGGTCTTTCATGCATTCATTTTTTCCCCCCTTATCCCTGATTTTGAGAAGTTGTGCTGAAGATCTGTGGTCCCATTTCTCGAAGACGGAGAGGGCACGTTGGGACTGCTCATTCAAATCACGAAAGAGGCCGGCTCAGCCCCGGTTTGGAGTTTTTCATTTTGTATAATAGAAACCCAGCCTCTTCACCCACCTCTTGTCCCCGCTGGGTAGACGAAGAGTGAAAAACAGAATTCTCTGTGGCCCACCCGTCCTTCCAACGGCCCCGGTGCCTGTTTTGAGCAAAGGTTTTTAAGAAGTTTCCTCTCGCACCAGCATTTCAGAGTTAGCTACTGGGGTGCTTTTAAGTTGAGTAATAAAAGCAAGACTGCCCCTCCTTCCAGGGCCAGAGGTTGCCCTGCCCCCTGTACCAAAGCCATGAGTCTAGCATCCCGAAACCTAGTCCAGGAGTGACACTATAGTATCTCAGTGCCAAGGAAGGCAGGTGTTCACCCTCTTTTTGTGTTAAAGTCCTTGAACAGGCTGACTGATGTCAACTGGGATGGGAGAATTTATGCCATGGGCATTGGTAAGTGCTATCAATTCGGAACCTTTCCTCTATCCTGGGAGTCACTTTTTGGAGGAAGGTGGAGAAGGTCCTTTGGTGGATGGTGTGGGCACTCTGGGACTATGGCTGGTGGAGATAGGTCCCTGGGGAATAGGCTTGGAAGACAGGCTGGCAGGAGGAGAAGCTGGAGCAGACAGACATTTGAAATCTAAAACCTGCTTGGAGTGACTGATTCCATCCATCCATCCATCCATCCATCCATCCATCCATCCATCCATCCATCC